CAATGTCCAGTTTGATGAAATGGCATAGTATATGCTGTGGCCGTATGTGCTTTGGTCTGCCAACTTAAATTTTTACCTACCCAGAGGGGGGTTTTGAATGCACTGATTTGACCTCGCGGCCATGCATTCTTGCAGCAAGACACCTCTCCGTTAAAGATCCTGACACGCGAATAACTCAGCACCACCAACTACAAAGAACAACTTTACAGCTTTGATGCGATGAGATCTACCGATACAAATATGGCCCGCTTTAAAGTCAGAATGCACAATGCTCTAAAATAAGCAGATGCTATTCTGAATCCTTTAGCTGATCTGAGTTATAGACAATTGGGGCTGAGTTATATATATATATATATATATACACACTTATAAAGCTCTGAAATAATATATCTGCCGCTGCAAATTTCAATACGGCCATATACACCCTTTAATTAATTATTTTTTTATATTTTTTAAAATTAGATATCTCTACGTATAAAAATAAATAATTTAATCTTATTTTTTCTCACATCGTTAATTTTATTAACGAAAATATCACACATGCTCAGTGATAAGTCGAAGTACGGTAAAATCAACACATGCTCGATGATAAACCCTATGAAATTTTCATCAATAAAATCAACGATGTGAGGAAACACATAATTAAATGTTTCACTTTGATAATATATAATTAGCCCTCCTATTATCTTTCATATATACCAAAAGAATATAGAGTATCTAACATGTGCACAAAAACCACAAGAAGCACAGATTTGAGGATAAACCTAAATTGATTGAAGACATTGTTTGGGAGCTTGGTCAACCATGAAAAGTCTTATCAAATGCAACAAAACAAAACATGAAAAGAGTGCAGCAAAACAATGACATATACCAATGTGTAGAAGTCCACAGGTTAGGAACATATGCTGGTGATGTGACAGCATGAAATGTGCTAATTGGCACATATATTTAGCTTGTTCTTCGCATGATATAAACACCCATGCTGATACCATGCCACCACAATACGATATGGTCAGCTTGGATCATCTAGAACCACCCTCAAGAATCCAAAGCATATATAACATGCATAAGTCACTTTTGTCCATCACAATAATATATTAGCCTCTTAATTTCGGAAATAAGAGTTTTTCTTGTTGATCAGTCTCATAGAACTCTGGAAATCTAAGGAAACCAACACCTTGATCATTTCAGTTCCTTAAGACTAAAATCTAGCAAAGCATGTAGAATTCAAACCAAGACAAGAAACATATTGAGAAAGATGTCCATGAGAAGCATTGCGGCTCCCTTGCTTCATAAGTACAATGGGTTTCACAAATATAAGCTTGACATTAGGTCTCATCTCTATAGATCAGACCATGAAGTTCCTTATAACACAGTTGGCATTAGGTCTCATCTCTCCGATTGACCACTCACATTTTTCTGATATCCAAGGCCATAAGTTTATTGATCTTTGCTATTCCATCTTAGTTATAACCATTCATAATCTTGTGGGATCATATTATAGGTTGAACAAGAAAGCAGAAACCATACACTTTTCACATACTGACTTTTAGAGAAACCAGTGACTCCAGCTGTGGCGGGCATGTAAAGAACAAGCTGATTAAGCAAGGACAAGTTCTAGAACTTTCAGTGGTTAACTTAAAAGAAAGCTAAGATACTAACAATTTTTGTTGTTGCCAGCATGCAAGTTCATCATTATTTAGCATAAGAAATTGCTAAAAGAAAATTTGCTTCAAATATCAATCATTTCTTTTGAAATCCACTGCACCACTTCTATCAACAGGACTGGTTTAACTTGCTATATTATTGGGGAAACGGAGTGATACAGTCCACAAACTTAAAAAACTAGAATAAACAAAGGAATAAATAAAGTAGACTACAACTACAGTTGCCATGTCAACTATCACTTTCAAATTGAAAACATCTACAGATGTACAATATGATGTCTGCATAAGTAGCACTAAGTGGACTAAATCTCAGTGTTTAACAACAACATACCTCTTCTAGAGTGAGAGCACTCCTCTTGGAGCCATTTTTTCTTTATTCTTTGACAATCCAATTTCATGTAAAAGCCGTATCTTCTTGAACCTCATCATCCTCTTTTATATCACCATCATCCTCCACATTCTTGCCAGCAGCCTGGATCACCTCATCATCAATTCCTGTGAAAATAAGAATGCCAAAGTTCAAGTTAGCAATTGGTCGTGAGTTCAATCATCAAGATATATACAATATAGAAGAAGTATACCAGCAAGGAAAGTTTCGGTTTCCTCATCATTTATATACTCAGATTGCAATTGAGTAGCCACTGGTTGGTTCAGCGTCATCCAATTGGAATGGTCAGCATCAGCGGAGAGCAGATCATTTTTCTCCACAATCCAGTCACCAACAACATCAATGTTATCGACGGATATAGGATCAAATGGTTTATGCCTCAAAATCTTCCTGTATAAATTCATAATTCATATTTTGACCATGAGTTGCAAGAGTATTTGATTAAGATACTATAATCTGCCATCAGCATGCAACATGCCAGAACATCATCATAGTTACCTTTGCTGTAGCTGCAAGTTATAATGTACGAAGATGAGGTCACAAAGTCGTTGATGTTCTAAATAGTTCATTCTGTGGTTGTGAATTTGTTCAAAAGGAAGGTGAACTCGCTCACATCCCCTTGCACTGCATGTTTGACTGAGGATGCGTATCGCCAAACGCATTAAGTTTGGGCAAGCGCCTCCATAAGTGGACCACCATTCAGCTACAAAATAACCAAAAGAAGAACAAAATCACCAACAAAAAAATCAAATGACAAACAATTCTTGCGTTAGTATTACTTTGGAGAAGAAACAATATTTTCAAGTTTTCCTTACCAGGAAGCAAAGTATTCCTTGCTCTAGTAGCCATTTTCCTACCGAAGTCCCCCGATGAGCTTTTATAAAGACTGAGCTCCTTTTGGATTTTATCTTGGATATTTGCCTCGGGGATTAGTCTTTCTATACAATCGAGCACCCCGGATGAGATCTCATTGCACACATCTTCTTGAATGCTGAAGAAGAAGCGAGGGTTCAAAAAGAAAGCAGCTGCATAAAGAGGACTAGGCGGATGTCTATTCCACTTCCAGTCTATAATTTCCCAGTAAATCATGTAGTCAGCCTTCTTCAAAAGTTCTTTCCTTATTGCCTGTTTGACTTGATACATCGCGACATGAATATATCCCATGGCAGGTTTCTTATCACTCTCTACTAATTTATAAACCTGCAAAAGTGGTTCTGTTATCCGGACGATTGCAGCACAAGAAGACCAAAATGGCGGACTACAAACAAGTTCAGATACTGCAAGTCCTCCGGGCTTCCTTGAATATGGCGAATCCAACCACTCCCCTGAGGTGACCATCATTGTCAAGTCCTCCTTTAAGCTAATCAGACTCTTCAATGTGATGAAGTTCATGGCAGACCGGCTGTCACAAGGAAGTATTAAATCTTTCCCATTCGTATACTTCCTCGTCATATTCAAGACAACTGCATTAGAGTAGATAAACCCTGTGATGGCTTTAGCATTCTCAATGACCTCGCTTATCGCTTCCAACTTCCCGATGTCCTCTAGAATTTCTTCTATGCATTGAGAAGCACATGGCGTCCAAAACAAGGTGGGAAATGTCTCTGCCAACTTGCTCCCGGCAGCAACATGGATCTCCGAATAACTAGTAATCACCTGAACTACATTTCTCTCGCCGACTCCTTCCACAACATGCTTAAGCAGCTCATATAGAGTATCAGCAGACGTAACTATGTGTGATGCATCAACTGATTTCAGGAACATCGTTCCTTCAGGACAGTATACCATAAAGTTTATCAGGGTCTTACCGGTAGTCGTAGTCCATTCATCTGCCAACACCGAACACCCAGTTCGGCTCCATGTTGCCTTGTATTGCTCCAATGTGTTATTCAATTCATCAACTGATCTCTTCAAGATCCAACCACGGAAATCATGATAAGATAACATTCCCAGCCCCGGTCCTGCCGAAGCAATTGCATCAACCATTGGTTGGAAAGACGCACAGTTCACCGCTTCCAAAGGCACCCCAGCCTCGTATAAAAACCGCCCGATAGCCATACAAACTTGATCTTTGTTGATGGTGCCTCCAATGAAAGGCTTGCCAACATCCGACACCGGAGCAGCAGTTTGTAGGGAAAGAGGAGGAGGAAGAAGGGGAGGAGAAGTATATCTTGCTCTCTTCTTCCGCCCCCTCTCCGGAAGTTTAGTCACAACGTCCTCCTCTTTTACTTCCACCTGGACCGCACCCGTGTCGACCATCTCCGGGAGCTGGATTAAATGCAAACCGGCGTCCACATCGCCACCGTCTGCCTGAATAGGGTCGGCCCTGCTCACCTCCTCCGCAGGCTTCAGCTTCTTCTTCCTCCTCGCGGCGGAGCCGTCCAGGCTCTGCTGCATCGCGACCTGCACCTCCAGCGGCACCTTGGGGCAGCACGATGCGTTGCCCTTGTGCCGGGCGAGGTGCTCCTTGATGCGGTGGATGCCGCCGCCGAGGAACTGCTTCATGCAGTACACGCACCTGAGCTTCGTCCGGCCGGCCGACCGCACCATCAGGCAGTGCTTCCAAGCCGGGTCGTGCTTTTGCGTGCCGATGGGCAGGATGATCTCGGAGGTCGAGGCCATTCCGCCGGCCGCAGGCAACGGAATTAACTTCCCACCTTCACCTGAGATCGACAGGGGGAAGCCACGGTGAGCGGGGCGGGCACGAGGGTGGAGCCCAAGGAAAGGTGAAGGGGCCGCGGGGCCCGCATGTGGTCTTACAGGTGGCGAAAGGAAAGAGGCAGACTAAGATTTCAAGGAAACAACGTGGGTTGGGGGGGTTGAGAGAGACTTACTAGGCTTTTCGCGTCGCGTTGCACTCCTGGCTGCGGGAGAACCGAAGGAGCGAGAGAGGGATTTGGTCCGGTTTGGTGATATTTATAGCAGGGGGAGAGGATTAGGGGATCTGACCGGCTAAACCGGTAAGGCGTTCGGACTGGTTCCTTGGATTAGCCGCGGCCTAATCGCTGTTTACCGGTCAAGGCCCTGGCTGGACCGGTTCCCTGGCTTGGAGAACCGGGACTGCCGGTTGCCCTGAAGGGGCGGCTCCCTCCCCGAGCGGTTCGCTCTGCGGCGTCCGCCCCGGCTCGGATCGGCCGGCGTGACTTCCCGATGATTCGATCTTTTCTCTCCCACCCCTCTCCGGTTTTATCACCCGCTCCGTGGCGAATCGAGAACCCTCTCCTCGTGGGATCGAATTCTCTCCCCACCCCTCTCTGGTTTCTCCCTGTCGTCTCCTCCCTGCTCCTGTTGGTACGGAGAGATTGATGATTCGAGAGCGGTTCAAAGAACCGATCGGCGGGGCAACTCCAGGTGTTGATTCGTTCCTTCGAGTCTTGTGGCGGATTGCTTCGAAAACCGGAGCTGTTTGGGTTAGGGCTAAAGAAATTGAACTAGGGTTTTTAGTCGATCTCGTTCTTCCGTCTTTGGAGTCGGATTTAGGGTAGAAAGAGGTACATGATTGCGATTAATTTTTCCGCTTGCTTCCTTCCTTTTTGCTTCGTTGTGCTTGAGATTTGTGATTTCGAAGTGCTCGGTTGTGTACACTTGGCTTAGATGATCGTTTCGTCCGCTGCTGCTTCCTGTCTGAGATTTATCCTATACTTCTTATTGATGTTCGTTGCAGTGTTGGAAGAACAACAAAACACGGAGGTCTCTGATTCTTCGGTGTTTGCTTAAGAAGATGGAGGAAGGGTTTAAGAATTGGGGGACAAAGACATGATTGACGATTTATGCTTGCAATTTTTTTTGCTTTTGAGATGATCCAAGTGCTCGATTAAATATAACTATTTTGAGATGACTGGGTTGTCTAGTGTTCCTATTTCCGACATAGATTGCTACGTTATGCCCGACGTATCCAGATCCTGAAATCAGTCCCTGCTTCCACAAAAAGAATTGGTGTTCAAGCTTGTTATATATTCAGGTACGTTTCGAATTAGATTGGTTGCTTTTAATAGACTGATGATTGTGATTGGTGAAACAATGGGGTGAACATTCCTTATTTTTCCTCCTTTACATACAATTCTTAAATTGTACATTACAAATCATGTGTTCTGCTATTGAAGGACTTAAGTTGGGATCTTTGGTTTGATTTTGTTGAGGTATCAATATCTCTCTTGTATATGTATATGTACACCCATCTTTGTTGATCTTTATAACTTCTTGAGTTAGTCATTTTGAAATTTGACTTCTCTAGCTTGCAGGGTATTTGAGCATTATTGACATCATTGTTCTTCTTTCATCTTGAAGAGAAGGTGTGTTTTCTTCATCCAGCTTATAGCTGGTTTAGTTTTTTATATTGCTTGAACTATTGTTGGTCATTCCTGCTGGAATTGGTAGCAAAACGTGTAGGATCAGTTTTTCAGGCTTTTAGATGATGATGATACTCTGATAGTTCAAAGAAAAATGATCAAGTTTCTCTTTTATGTCATGTTTATGTTCTTACATTTTATTACTCTATGCATTGGGTCTTGAAGATTGCGTTTTTTAAGGTTAATGTCCTATCTTGTTCTTGTGGAGCAACTTGCCTTTGTTCCTCTTTGTTCAGTTTCATCCTTATAATCTGTATTAAGTTTGTGGGTAGCTCCGAGTTACATTGTGGAAACAAAAGACGTTCTTTTGCTACAAACACCTTTAAGTAGTTTGTATCTAGGATTTTAGTTTTATGATACACATGGTGGTCGGTAACTTGTTGACATAAATTGTCTTAGCTGGCACTCTTTCGAGTAAGGTTTCTGCCGACTGGAACAAACACTATGCTTCCTAGGTGTATAAGCAAATCCTTTGGACAGTGTGAAGTTCCATACTGGTGTTGTTCTGTAATGGTACATGTTGGCAGGCATCTGCAACGCTTTTCTATTGTTTTTTCCTAAACTTCTTTCCTCCAACAAAATATGTGGTTTCTTCTGATTTGGTAACGCTAATAATATTTGTTGAATTGTCATCTAGCGCTCGGATCCACAATGTGGGTAGTTATGAGCCTATGTTACTGGTTGACAAAAACGTAGACAAATATAGTGCCTTTCTGGCAAACATGAAGTGATATACAAGTGTTTTATCAAATGAACAATTTAGAATGTAGAACAACAATAATAGCAAAGCCATAAGGTCTAACTATTTGAGGTTGGCTACATGGATCATTTAACACCATTGAGACTTGTAAAAAGCTATATGTTAAGTTCAGAGTCCTTAGAACGCGATTTATAGTTTATATTAAAGTTTTTCTAGGTCCTCATCTATTTTTTCTTATACCACTAATATTAATTATTTTTTTTCTTCTGACTATTACATTCGGAGGTCTTCTAGGCACATGCTCATATCATCTTAAACGATTTTCTCTCAAATTATCCTCTATCGAAGTGATATCTAGTTGTTTACAAATACAAATATTTCTTTTCTTATCTTTCCTAGTAACTCTACACATTCATCTCAACATCACAAACATTTTGCATATATTGTTTTTTAACTGTCCAACACTCGTATACATAAAGTTTAGAACGTAGAAAAGACACATAAATTGATATTATTGATAACTAATATGCAATACATTATATCTAGTGGTTTTTTTTTTAAAGCTTAAAGTGGGCATATTGTGATGGACTTGTGATTTGGTATTGGCTTATTACTGAACTGATTTGTCCAGTGCTCTCATTGACTTATTGTGAACTCTACCACTGTCAATTTTTATCAGAATCATGAGAATCAAGTTGGACTTCATATGGCACGTTTAGATGAGGGTAATTGATTGTGTCAAGAATTTAGGGTAATATTCCAATTAGGAGCCACAGAATAATGCAGTTATGTAAATTTGCCCCTTTTTTGTTTATTAAACTGGCTTCCAATCTTTTTAGAACAATTTTCCTGCATTTTCTTCTTAGATCAATTTTCCTGCCTTTTATAGTCTGAATAATAGGCTCTATTCTATTCTGAAATAGAACCTTTAGAGAGAGAGAGAGAGAGAGAGTTGGAAGTCAGTGATCTTGATGTTAGAGATTCTAAGAGCTGATAGTTCTTTTATATAATCATGAACTTTCAATTCACCTGTTAGCCGGCCCATCACTGACATCAAGGTACCAGCAGTTCCCTTGAGGATAGTGAGGGTGTTATCCAAACCATTCGTGGTGCAGTGTGTATGGTATTGCCTTGTTAACTGAAGCATAAAGAATCACAAGTGGATGGATAAGAACCAACAAAGACGTGGGCAAGGTTGCATGATAATTTCTCAATTCACTCATTGTTCTTCTTTTTGCTTTTGCATAGTAATTTCTTATATCTTCTTGTTTGACTAACAAGTCTCTTTGAGGTGGAGTGAACTAGTTGTTATCAGAACCAATCATCCTGAAATGATGCACTTGATTACATCTTCATCAAAAATAAGTAAACCACGGTAGCTGATGGTGATGCTGGATAGTTTGATACTGTTAACCGTGGAAGCTGCATCATAACTATCATTTGCTGGGCTGGGGCTGCACTTATATCTCTGAGGAAGATTGATTAATTCCTTAAATGTGCTGACGAGGCTGGAAAGCTTGAGCAAGCGATTGATGTATCCACACTTACATGTTGGTTTTGTTTTCATAATTGGAAAATGCAATTTACTTTTATGTGCAGGAAAGCAAGACTGGAAATCGTGTGCACCAATTATTGCCTGCTTCCCATCATCTGGGCATTTCGCAACACAATTTCTCTTATGGATTTTGCAGTTCCGATCCCAAATCACCATTAGCCAGGAAAACTACTGCATCCAAGGTATGGTGAGCAAACATATCTGAATCTTAGTGTTGCTTCATCATATTTCGTCACACATGGCGGCGATAAGATGGAAGGCAAGTGTGGTTAGAGCCAACACAATAAAAAATTCTATGCTGCGAGAATAAATGAAAAGGGGGATGGTTTACTCAGAAAATATGAAAATAAGGACAAATTGCCCTTTGTATTTTCATCGATCATGGTAGAATTATAATGTTATGCGTAGTTGACGTACTTGGGCATGTGGTAGAATCTTCTCCCTGCCGCTACCGCTACCGCTTGTGTACCCATTAAAACTACCTCCTCTGCTTCCTACAAGCATCTCGTGATTTCGAGGGCTACCCCCACCGATTGCAGCAGCCATCTCATCTGCCTCTGTAGCAACAAAATGATGCAACACAGCTTATTTTCCTAAGATTATCGTGGGCCAATTTATCAGTAAAAATGATGCAGCAGCAGACCTGAATCTTTCCCAAGCCAGGAATAAAAGAAAGCTACTTGATCAACGTAGATTTCTAAATATTACACCCACCACATCTACCAGAAAGAATCATTTGAACCCTTAGATAGAAAGAAACTGCAAAAAAAAAAAAAGGAAGAAAAGAAATAACACAATTTCTCTTCTGCAAGAAGATCACTTGAACAGACCAAAGAATTATGACTTGTACGCATCATTTACAGGTAACAAAATAGATTTTCACCACATAATCGATAACATATACAAAGTTATAAATATAATGAAGGACTTTACAAGAAATAAAACAGTACATGGGTGTACTAGCTTTGGGAAAACCCAAAACCTGTAAAGTAGATGGTGAAACATACTGGTTATCAACCAGTCCACCTGTTATGTCTATCTAAACCAGTAAACACTCCTTGAAGCTTGCCTTAGTTAGACCTACAGCCCCAGCTCTTTTTTCAGCTGTGCAAGAGCGGCCTCAATTTCATCGATGCTATCTTCAATGCTGTCCTCCTTACTTTGATCTCTTACACTATTTTCCTCATTTCCATCCCTAGAAGATGCTGAGGGGTTTCCATTCCGATATTCATCCCAGGAGCTCTCCTTTTCAACATCCAAATCATTAATGTTGAGTTCCTTCTCTAAGAACTCAACAAACTCCTCACCAATGGCCTGAAAATTCAGGAATCTAATTAGAGGCAAATCACATCTTGAACCATAGAAAGGTCAGCTAATAATATCACAGAGTTCTCTCACGTTTGCAAGGCAGAAAACTATATGTTTATGCAGGAAAAATGAAAGCTAATGGGATAATCAATATTCTGAAAAAGTCTGGTTATCATGACAATGGTCAAACTTAAACTTACAGCCAACTCCTCCCAAAGGCTTTTGGGTTTCTCTTGTGAACTTATGCCTGCTTCCCAGTTCCGAAATTCTGCTTGCAGATCTTGAAAGAATTGTTCTGCAACATCATTTTTCTGGTTATTTTTAATCAGAGTAGCTCTTCTATTATAAGAATAAGGATACGATAGCTTGGTTCCTGACAAGAGTAAAATCTACCTAGTGATATTTGTACATCTCTCAAAAATTCACCTGCAGAATAAATGGTTATAGACTTACAATTAACTTAGGGATCAGAGCCTAGATAATAATATTATTTTGTAGTTACACCATATAAGATCTGGAGACAGCTGGTTAAAATAATCATGCCATCCAACAATCCTTCATCTAATTCTAGAATAATAGATACATATAACAGCAATGATTCTTAACGTCAAAAACCAGCAAGTGTATGATAGTGATATGTACCAAAGCCATAGAATTCCTCATCTGGGGCACTTCTGCTCCTTTCAGCTGTTCTTGAAAAATCTGCACTTTGATTTCCATACTTGAACTGTGATTCTGAATTCATTAAGGTATTGTATGCATGTTTAATTCTCATGAATTTCTCCTGAGCATTTGCCTTCAAAGATAAGAGATTGTACTAATCAATGCAATGACATTAGCATGATAGGTCAAAGGATAGTCTCTTTGTTACTACAGGTAAAATCTTGAATCAAATTGGAGAAATAATATGTCTACAGTTCCAAGTCATCAGAAGAAATTGCTGAGTGGCTTCATAGAATTTTTAAAAAAAGATGAACCCAATAGGCAAAATTTTGGAATGGTAGGATCAAAATTTTAGAAGACTCAATATTCACTTAATTACATGAAAAAACCATGACATGATGTCTTAAAGCAAGCTTGTCAAGATTTCTTTGAGGAAAAGATCCTCTAAAGCAATATTTTGTTGTGACCAAATGATATAGTCTTCTGGTCAAGAACTATATTCCAGTACTCAATATTCAAGCCCACTAACATTAGTTCCAATTTATATAAAAAATAAAATTTAATTAAGAAACTTTCTTTCGAGTACTTCAGACAACTAAATTTGATTAGTGAAAATATAAAAAATATTTTTTGAAAGGGTTCCTACGGTTATCCTTTGAAGGAATGGTTTGAGATCAATACCCAGCCAGCTCGGAGAGAGCAGCAAAGTCCTTACCAACTCGGATTCCCAGCATAGACAAGTAGCCTTTTAATTCAGGTTCTTGGTTGATACATAACGACCTTGGGAGAAATATGAAATTATGCTACTTATTTTGGAAAAAGAAAAGGAAGGAGTCCTTTGGAAAATGACAACTACGTTATTTTCGATAGGTGACTGTGCTTTAGAAAAGGCATTCTCAAATAGAAGTGGCAACTTATGCTGATATCTTTTCTAGTTCGTTTAAGGAACCTCCAAAGTTCCTCTAAGAGGGCTAGAACATGTTAGTTGTGTAAGTACTAAAAAGAATCTAGTTAGAGCATTTATCAATTATGTTGCCAATAATGGATTATTTAATCATGATCACTACTTGATTGAAATCATTGTGCATGCTCTAAACCATTGAAGCCCTCTAGGGCAGTTCTGGACTACGCTACAGTTTGAATATTGACGATGATGTCAAGCTTTAAATAGGGAAGATTATGACATCCAGTTTAGTATCACATCGAGAGGGAGGGATGGTTATGAGCCTATAAAGAACAAGATTCTTTTTTGGGTAAATTAAAGATAGTATCGTCAGTAAGAATGAAAGACATAAAACCTATCAAGATATCGGTTTCATGGAATATTCAAAAACCTAATTATGAGTGGAATAGGGCATACATGCAGAATTGAGTCAAGACACCAACTTTATGGGTTTTGTTCAAGAAATCAAAGGAGGACAAGTAAAATTAGATCAAGAACGAAGATCTATAGGAACCAAGAACAGGAAATACCAGAAAGAAGAATCCAAATGTCCAAGAAACAACAGGTACCTACCTCCTTATTGACATCGGGGTGGTACTTGAGGGCGAGCTTTCGATAGGCTCCCTTGATCTCTTGAGCGCTCGCCGAAGGGGAGACGCCCAGGACCTCGTACGGGGACTCCCTGCGGCTCGCCCTCATCAGAGTAGTGCGCCATCGCGGGGAATCGCCGGCCCGCCTCTTCTTCCGGCTCCATCCGAGGCTCGCCGGAAGGGAAGCGAGGGAGAAGGCGTCACGACGAGGTACACGGGGCAAATCTTGAGGAGGGGCGGAGAGGAAGAGAGAAAGGCGGAGGAGGTGGCGGCGGATCGAAGCAGAGCACGAAGGGGAGGAATGGGTGGAGGAGGAAAGAGCCGTTAGCGGATGCATGGAGATGATGGAAGGCCATCGATCCGATTATTGCCTATTTACCCTAATAATATTATTCGTGGATAATATTGTGGTGAGATTGGGTCCAGTTGGAGGTTAACCATAATCTAACCCAACATGGAAGTGGCTCGAACCAAATCCCACTCTATGTGGTCGATTTATTTCCCACATCATCGATCGGTCGGTCCGATTTGGTTTTTTTGGACTTGATATAGGTTTAATTTGATATGGTCCAAGTTGAACCCGAATTACGCTCGGAAATGAACCAAGATCGACTCACTCCGACCCAACCGGCTTGGGTTAGCCGGGTGAAACCCAACCCAATCTCCTCTTCAGGTATCGGTGACTCTTCTCGTCTTACCACCAGGTGAGCAGTTGCCACTCGGCTTCATGACAACGAAATCAAAGGAAGCCCACTCCCTCCACTCAACCCCTCTCTCCTTCCTCTTCGTACCCTTCTAATAGCCACAAGGCAGACTAAGAAGACCAGAACGAAGAACAATGTCGACTTCGGGACGACACACCTTGCTCCTCTGCCTCTTCATTCCTATCTCATTATCATGTGAGGCTCGCCACCAGCATCACCAAAAGGAGTTGGCTTGTAACTCACGGCCTTGTCTTTGTTGTTTCAGGTGAGATCCAACTCGTACTGGTGAACCACTGCAAAGACGGCGTGTGGCCTGGAGTACTCGGCAGTGCCGGCCACAACTCCCCGGAGGGTGGTGGCTTCCATCTGGGCGTCGGCCAGGAGACAGTCCTGGACGTGCCGAGTGGATGGTCGGGGAGAATCTGGGGTAGGCAGGGTTGCTGCTTCGATGAAAACGGGAAAGGAAGCTGCGACAGTGGCGACTGCGGCGGCCTGCTGCGCTGCAACGGTACTGGAGGCACACCGCCGGCGACCGTGGTCGAGATGACGTTGGGGACCCACCGGTCTCCTCTCCATTTCTATGACGTGAGTTTAGTGGAGGGCTTCAATCTTCCGGTCACGATCGCTCCGGTTGGCGGAGGGAAGGGATGCGGCGGCGTGGCGGGCTGCCAGGTGGACTTGAACACATGCTGCCCTTCCAGGTTCGAGGTGAAGCAGAAGGGGAAGGTGGTGGGATGCAAGAGCGCGTGCTTGGCCCTGAAGACGGACAAGTATTGCTGCACCGGGGAGTATGGCTCGCCGGAGCGCTGCAAGCCCACCCTCTTCTCCCATCTCTTCAAGTCCATCTGTCCTCGAGCTTATAGTTTCGCCTACGACTCTTCTTCCACTCTCAACATGTGCAGGGCATCGAGGTATCTCATTACCTTCTGCCCTTGTGCAACCTAAATCAAAGTCACAGATGCATTCAGTATGATTGCCAATGCCTTCCATTACTAACATTGTTCTTGAAGCACTAAACCATGATCGCTTTACGCAGACGTGCATGGAAGAGAGAGAGAGAGAGAGTTGGAAGCATCAAAATAATACAAATATAGAGAGAACGGGGAGACACACATGAACAAAATCAACCAATCGATCGATCGATCGCAAATATAGAAGAGGACAAAGTATGGGATTACACCACCACATAACTCGAGCTAAGACTAATCGCAACTCAAAAAACAAGAGTAATGTGATCTTGTGATCCTTTCTACAAACTTCTAACCTAACACAAACACGAGGATATGTACAAGAAACCAGAGTATCTCTTTGATTTCACCATCTCTCTCTGGTTCTGCTTCTCCCTCCTCCTAGTTCATATGATCTCTTCTTCTGCCCTCGTCAGCCAGCAGAGACATCAGGAGTAGTCTCTCCAGCAAATGAGCATGACGACACAGCGGCGCATAATGTAGAACCTTGACCTCTGTTCTTTAACCAGACTCGCCCACCGCCTGGAGAACGACTCCGCCATGCTCCTCCTCCCCGCCTCTCTCCTGCTTCCCTTCGCCGATAGCTTCCACTTCTCATCCATGTACAGCTCCATCTTCAGATCTAGATCTCGCGACAGCTAACGTGCCTGGTTATATAGATGGAAGGAGCAACAGAGAGTATGTTGATTGATTGACGCAGTGAGGGTGGCCTTTGAGCTAATCATCGTTTAACTAGTAGCAGAGAAGGAATTGTGAAAGGTATTGCTCGCTCATTCTGAGGTGAAATCACATGGTTGAGACAGGGAAAAGACTGGCGGTTTCAGTCTTCATACTTTTCAGCTCCCTACAGATTTGGCACCGGATGACACCTCTGCAGCTGATCAGCTTTTCATCTTTGTAGCTGCAGACCGGGATTTGGATCTTCCGGGAGGCCACCCTGGACACAGCGCATCACAGCCCCCAGCGTCCTCCCTCCGCGGCTGTTGTGCGGTCAAAGCAACAAGATAAAAGGAAAAAAAAAATGCAGGGTTTTGTCCTCTCGTCCTGAGACGAGGGACATCCATGCATGCGCCCTCAGTTCCGAAAACACCCGTACAGGTTTCTGCTTCCCGTAATCATAAGTACGTGAGCCACTAATTGTTCTTATGATCCGATAACCTGCAGTTTCGATACAAATGTCGACGCTCATCATGCATGCCTACTACACGTTGTGTGTTGTGCAGGGAAACAGTGAAGAGGGCAAAATTTTCAGTGGCGTAAAGCTTGTCCGCCATGTGGTATGAATAGACGCCATCGAAGGTGTTGTCACGATGAAGGATACAGACAGGGCATGTGGTAGGCAGCTTCATTTGGCCCGACCTTATGGTGTGCGTGATTCAAGGCATCTATGGGGTGTCTCAGGTGAGACCATTGAGGGAGGGTTGGACATTAGTGGCACAAGCTAATGATTGGCTGCATTTGGTACTGCTTTGGATGTGCCACAATGCATTTCTTTTTTTTGAGGTTTGCATAGAGTTTAATACTGGAAAATAAATTTACCATTTTTTCTATGACGAATTCTCGAGAAAAAAAAAATCATTTTTTAATTTTTTTCCTAAGAAATGCCTTCTATTTTTAAAATTCTCAAACAATATATATATATATATATATATATATATATATATATATATATATATTCATAAGAACCCAAATAACCATAGTCACCTATTTTTTTTCTCCCTTTTCTTATACACCGATCCATGGGGTGAATTACATCATGTTGTAGTAATTTTAGTAATATAAAAAACATAATAATAGAATAAAAAACTATATTATTTTTTTGTATTATGTTATAATATTTTTCTCAAATTGCTTAAAACACTGTAACATAGTATAAAAATATTTATTATAATATAATATATTAGATTATAGTATTTTTTTGAAATTAATAAAAATACTATAATATAGTATAAAAATATTATACCTGAACCGATTTATCCAATGGATCGATTCGTAGTAAGAGAGAGAGAGAGAGAGAGAGAGAGAGAGAGAGAGAGAGAGAGAAAAGATAGGTGACTGATTGTCAAATTAAGGATATATCAAGTATTAAGAAAAAAGTTTTATTTAAATTTTTTAAAAATATGGGATACATACTTCTCGAAAAGAATAAAAAAAAAATCTGAGAATTCGTCGTCTGTTCATTCAGAGGATGATTTAAGGCAGGAACCAATTTTATTTTTATTCAATTGGAAAACCAGCAAGAACAAGATCAAAAAGTCTAATCTGGGAGCTTGTGATGTGGGAATTTACAGTTCAAAATAAGGAAACCCAATTTTGACCGCAACAGTAGGCGGGGAGAGAGAGAGAGAGAGAGAGAGAGAAGAGACGTAGTAAGTTTCGATACACCACGACAAAATTCCAAGCAAGCAAGCCCCAGAACACACGCGACCGATCCAGCGGTCAGCATCAACATCTTGGAAGATCGGACGGTGGAGGAGGGAGCTTCTGGTTGGGGAGTGGCCCGTCGTTGACCACCCACACCATCTTCAACCCCCAGCTGAGATGCAAGTCGATGTGGCAGTGCATGAGCCATGCACCTGTTCCGTACCCAAGTCAACGTCAGCAACTAAAGAAACCACCAGTGAAGATAGTAGTATCTGTCACTTACCGGGGTTGTCAGCTCGGAAGCGAATGGCGAGCCATCCGCCGACCGGGACGCCGGCGGTGTTCTTCTCCACAGGGTCGACGAGATTGAAGTTACAAGGGTCGGTCACCGGGTCATAGTTTCCGAAGCCTTGTCCCACCACGTGGAAGTTGTGGCCATGGAAGTGCATCGGATGGTTCTCGATTCCTTGAATGCTGGTGTCCTGTAGCACCAACTCCACGCTGGTGTTGAACGGAAGCACCACCACCTTGGTTCCCTTGCTCACGAACGTGTTGTTGGGTGGAGTCCCCGTGTAGTTGAAGGGGAACGGAGGGATGTCCGGGAAGTCTGTGGTGTAGACCCCGTTCGACTGCGAGTAGTAGTGAGCCTGGAGAAGAGCAGTGGAGGGGAACACAAAGGAGGCGTTGTTGACCGATGCGGCAAACTTGGTGCCATTGGGGCCTTGACAGGTTCGGTTCGTGGGACAGGGATCCGTGCCGAGGCCGATCGTGAAGTAGAATCGCCGGTCGACGGTTCGTGGTACGTCGGAGGGGTACCGATCATCCGCGAGGCTGCGAAGCTTGCTGGCGAAGTTCGTGACGTTAGCAGTGTCGTTAAGGGACGGAAGTGCCGGTCTCAGCAACGGCAGCTTCGTGCTGGCTCTGTTCGGATTGTGGTATTCGAGGACGCCGGCCGTGGTGGTGTTGTCGAAGGTGCCCTGCCCGGTGGCATAAGGCCTCGCGGCGAAGAGGAAGGCGGCGTTGGGGAAGGTCGGCTTGGCATGCAAAAGCACGTTGGCGGTCTGGCCGGGGGTGATAACGAGGGCTTCAGCGTCGAAGGGCTTAACGTAACTGGCGTCGGTTTCCACGACAGTGACGGTGTGGTTGGCGATGCCGAAGAAGAGCTCGTCGTTGAGTGCAGCGTTGATCAGTCGAAGGAGATACGTCTTTCCGGGCTTCACCTTCAGCTTGAACGTATCTATCAAACATGCATATCATACCGTTAATCTAAACAGCATCTCGCTGTCGCCAAAAGTGTTACAAAGGGAATGACTCGGAATCCAATCACCTTTCCCCGAGCAATTATACAGGGGACCGGGGAGGCCATTGATCGTGTAAGCGTCGGAAACATTTGGCCCTCCGCCAGTCCGAAGAGCTTGGGCGATGACGGCCTCCGGGTCTGCATTGAACCACTCACCTGCATTGCCAAAAACCAAGCGATCAACCGCTCGTAAATCATGATTTAAGGGGGACTAGTCCCTCCAAGTCGAGATCTAGTGATTACCTAAGATGATGGGGACTTCCTTGTATGGTCTCGCAAACGGGTAAGGAACACCACGCTTGGGGAGGATGACGAGAGAGCCATACACGGTGGCCCTCAGCCAAGAGGCGTGTGCATGCCACCAGAGAGTGCCTCTCTGACCTGCAGTGGTGAAGTTGTAGACGTAGCTCTGCCCGGTGCGGATGGGGCACTGCGTGATGTACTCCGGGCCATCCGCCCACCCGCTCTGCACCTGCCGTATGCCATGCCTGCACACGTACCCGTTCGAACTCATCAGACAAACGCAGCAGTAAGAGGCACTCGGATACGTAACTCGAAGCCAAGGATTTGGATACCAGTGTATCGTGATGTCACTGCGAACATGGTTCACCACCTTAACCACGAGACGATCACCTTCTCTGACGACGATCCTTGGCCCCGGGAACTGCCCGTTGACCGTCACAATGCTCTTTGTCGTGCACAACCTCGTCGCGTTCCGTAGGGTTATCTGCAACAAAGAAACATGCTGGTAACGAAGAAACACGTCGACTACATTAGCTTCCGCGGACACAAATATAAGCACGTTACACACATCAAACTTGTAATGCCTGGTAACACCAGCTGAGAGCTGTGCCGACGAGAACAAGATGCACGCTGCAAGAAGGAAAGTTCTGACGCCACCCATGCTTCGTCGTCCCACAGCTTGCAAGTCGATGGATTGAAGGGTGTCGTGAGCGAGTTACGACCTAGATATTGGCAAGAACGATATATAGGCAAGAAACGGTAAGAGACAAAATTCCTCGGGTTCTCTGTCGGGGCTGCAAAAGGCGTCAGGTCGACCTGAACTTTAGAGTGTTCGCAAAGAAATATTCAAGTGTAATTGGCCTGCGCCATCAGTCGAATGTTGAGGCAGTATTCTATCAGTTGAAGAAGAGAGAAGGGGCATTTCTTGATCACAAAGACAGCTCTAAAATATTGGTTTGTTGGTTTTGGCATTGACTTAGAAGCATAGAGTTGTTGTCGTATATATCAACAGCCCCCACTCGAACTTGCCTCCAACTTCATCAACCCCTCACTGTCCCTCTCTGATAAATGGAATATGTGATTGGGGCATTAGCTTGTTTGCTTTGTGACCAAGAGATTACTCAGCACGCACTATTCTCTGGAATTCAAATCCCTATCATTGAACATGGAAATCTCGCGTTGAAATCTCAACTATTTCCATCTTTCGTTAGTTGAGGCAATAAAAAGAAGAGATAGACTGCCATGCATATATATATACACACACAGTTGAAAACATTATGAACATCCCTATAAACCTAATTCTTCCACATATATTTTCACAAAATTTCAAATTAAGTGCAGTAGGTGAAGTTGCCCTTGTTTGAAGATGAATCGATGACATTATGAAGGGCATCCATGCTTCATTTTGATCATCTGCATGACGGTCCACCAAACCGGGCCTCATTGTCCTTCTCCTTTTCCTCCTCCTCCTTTTTACTCCGACAGTTTTAGCATCAAAAAAACCTAAAAGAAGATTCTACCATGGATTGGGCTAAAAATGCTTGTGATTCATGTGGTAACTCCAACAGGTTTAGCATCAAAAACATGCATCAATAGTATGAATAAGTTGTTGCGTCGAGGTTAAGCCAGATTCGACTAGCTCACCATTTCCACGGAGGGTAAAGATAGTAGTAATATATTGAAGATCAGCGGTCAATCCTAACCCCTAAATAAGGTGCAAGAAAGCTGGCAAGAACAAAGCTGTAGATGATGTGTCCAATCATCGTCTTGTTCCTCCTGTCATCTTAAAATTGATGACATGCTTTTCTTACACCAACACTTTCAACTTGAAGAACACGGAAACACCAGCAATCCACTTTATACTAATAGTTCAAGACTATTAAGTTAATGAATCTGTTATTTCACCAACCATATCTCCGGCTGATATACAAAACACAAAATTATCAGAAAGGTTTGGATCACAAGGAACTTTTGCCATTAGCATCCTATGAAAACACTACAGAATGGTTGACAATCATAAACATCAAGGTTTTCTATAAAAAATTCTTCTAATTCGGAATTATTTAGTCATAAATACTTTGCTGCCTAAATCTCACACAAATTTCCCATCAAAACTTCATGTTCATGTGGAGGATTCCAACTCACACCATTTCACTTCCAACTTTACAACAATGTAAAACCAGATGTCAAGAAGTTGCATCCCACCATTGTGTTCGGCTGTCATGATAAAAAAATACAGTTTTCTCAGTCATGTGTAGTCCAAGCTATCGAAGACCTTGACATATCAAGTATATCTCTCTTGAGCAAGATCTGGTCGCCTTGGGCCTTAACCATGACACTTTTGTGAAACGCCGTTTGCAAAATTTCATGAATCCTGCAACCATCAATCCAAAACTAAATGCCTAAAGGTGATCCGAAAATTAATATGCAATCAACAAGGCTTGTATGCATTGCATACTAGGGAGTGTATGGACCTGCATTTTCTTCACTCTCGAGAAGTTTAATCACAAGGTTGCCCCCTCGTCGAAGAACACCGACTTCGTTTGCATCGAGACCTGTGCTGTTGAGGTGTAACTCTGTATTGGAATCACCAGCTGAGCAAGGTAAAGGTACCTTACCAACAGCCAATGAGAGCGCGCGCATGCCAAGCTGACAGGATAGAGCAGTATCTTTTGCTGTGATCCCAGAAACTGTTGGACACATATCTGATAATATCACCGAAAATCCCCTTTCCTGAAAAGCATATATGTAACCACCAATGACTCATCTTCGGTTCCGAAGAAACTACTACACAGATGGAAATTCTTATTATTTGAGATACAAAAAAGGCGCCAGCAGACTCATGATTAAATTGTGATATTATTTCTACAGCCACAGATGGACTCTCTTTTGTTATTTGAAAAGACATAAAGAGGTGCTGATGGATTTCAAAAACATGATATGACATCTAAAAAGTGAAAGGCACGGGAGATAACCATTACCCCTATGGTCCGACTTACATAAGTTATTTTCAAGACTGTAATCACAGGTTATTAACCAGGGCCTCAGGCCTCAATGTTATACAAAGAACAAAATGGGGAGAGATTGACTGAATACAAGAGGAGATCACAGTAACTGCAATAAGAAGAATATTGGGAAGCTCATGTTGATTGTAGTTTTCAGAAACCTCGCTAAGGGCATTTAAGACGAAAAATGAATGATGACAAGAAAACAGTCCATGGTTTCTCTCAAGATATTCAAATGTCAGGGGAGTTGAAGCATTTGTGTACAAAAAACAGACCTAAAACACACTAAGATGCCGAATGATGTAATAATATATAATAGTAGCATGATCCACAGAGGTCTTGGTTCATAGCAATATCAACATCAACAATAGGATATAATTAAAATGTAATAATCATTGGTCAAATCAGATATCAACAAGACTTCTAAACTTCGAGTGACTTAAACAGGAGTCACAAAGGAAGTAATTTTAAGTTATCCATCTTATCCTCTTTGTAGGATTCCTTATCTTCCCTCTCTCCAAATGTTCCCAACATTATCGACACCGAATGACTACAATTAGGGGGACAAACTACCTGCATTTGTTCAACAATTTAACTGGTTCACATATATAAAAGAAACACATCCATTCCATATGGATTGAGATTAAAAGAGAACAAACACCACATCCAGCTCTACAGAAGCTGATATACCGGTCTAGGAGTTTCACCCATATCGCAATGTCAAGCTGTTCTTGTCCATAACCAATGCATATGTGCTGAAAATAAAGTGGCATTTCGCGTCCTCTTTTGGAACAGTGCTGCTGTATATGTCTAAATATTCCTAAGTAGCTAATTCAAGTGTTCCCACTCAAATTGGATAAGAAACACTAGTTTTGCAAATCACTGAGCAACTGAGAAGTACTGACACCACAGTAACCTACAAAATGGAGTTGTTTTATATCCAAAATCCTCTCATTCATTCACTACATGAGCTACTGTATACATAGCTAATTTTCCTTCATCTATCTGGTTGCTCTTATTATGACTAAGACTATGTTGATGGAATGGTCCCACTGATACGAGGCATCAACCGCATACAAGTTTTCAAAAGCAAGCCGAAATTAAAAATTCTGAGCAACTAGAGAATGTAATTTCATAACAAAATCTGCATTATTTTGGCACTTGAAAGATACTAGAAAATGGAAATCATCATGCAAGCCCAAAACTAAGAAACAAATGATACCTGAGGAGACATTGCTCTCACTTGCTCCTTCAACAGGCTCATTACATCCGCACAAACTGTTCTGACCCGAGAATCACAATGAGAAGAGGGAGCCTTCATTTTCTGCCCAGCAATAAAAAACAAAACGCAATAAATAAAAAAGGATGTCTACAAAGATCCATTAAACCATGCCATCAATCTAATCCATTTTTTCATCAGCATTTTCATAGATGTCCACAGAAAACCGAAGCAGATTCATGTAAGAAACCTTCAGATCAATACCCACGACCGCCCCACCCTTTTCCAGGGCACCCAAGCTCTGGCATGCCACCTAGCAACACTAAAATATCACTTCTTTAGAACATTTATCGTGACAAAAACCTCATAACAGGACTATATTACAAACGTATTCCGAAGTGTAATGATATACTTTAGGAGGAGAAAATAAAGGAGGTAGCTTCCGAGACGAATAGAAGGAATCCCAGGGGGCGGTACCTGAAGCCAAGCACCGGGAGCGCATCCAAGATCCAGAACCGAAGCCCCCGGAGTTATCAGTTTATGCTGCTTCTGCATCTGTAGAAGCTGAGAAGACAAAAGGAGCGTATACAAAGACAGGTTTTGATTCGAACCAAAAAGATCTCAACCAGGAGGGGTACGAGGAGGAGAAACCTTGAATGCTGATCGAGCGACATAGCCGAGGCGCTGAGCCTCTCTGTAGAAGAAGTCCGGAGCCCCGGCACCGCTCATCGTCGCCGTCTTCCCTCTTTCCCCTCCCACGGCGATGACAAGACCCTTCAGACCTGCGAGGGTTTGAGGAACCCCGCGATAAATGGGCCGGGTCGATGTGAGAGACTTACAGGCCATGACCCGACCCACATCTGACGTAAGAGATGAAAGTTGTGTCCCGACATTAGCCAGACTCACATAAAGCAGATGTGGTGAGGAAGGGCAGTGCGAATCTCAACGTGCACCACATCTCGCAGACCCGTGAGTTAAGTCGAGTGTCAAAGCATCACCCACACCCTCCGATCGTGACTAAATTCGATCATCTAATTTTCGTGTCTCTATTCTATCCGTCCATTTGAGCCGAAGTCCAAATCACGTCTCGCCTCATTTGTTGTCGCAGTCGTAGTCATTGTCGCTGCAAATAAAATTCGGGGTTCGCCTCGCGGCCGCTTCCCCTTTTCATCGATACTACCCCAAAAACTCCCCTCGCATCTCCTCGTTGCCTCCTCAATCCAATCCCTGCTCGCTGCCCCATCTCTCCCGAAGGTTTCTTCCCATTTCATGCGCGACTTCCCGGAAATATGAACTTCTCCGGCCTCGGGCGCTCCCTCTTACGATCGGCGCGTTCCCGATCACCCAAGGTACGGCGGTCCTCCTCCCCCCTTCTTGCCACTTTCTACTGCGAGACCTATCATTTTGTGCATGTAACTATTGGGGTTCGGTCGTTAAGGGTGCTCTGTCGGGTGGCTATGGCGCGCGGCCTGTGATTTCTAGCGAAGTGCTC